GACTGGGAGAGCCTGGAATGCAGGGCCAGGACAGGAGAAATTCCCTGATAAAGCAGGGATGAGTCCCGAGCTGGCACATCCCAGAGGGACAGGGAGAGCCTGGAATGCAGGGCCAGGACAGGAGAAATTCCCTGATAAAGCAGGGATGAGTCCCGAGCTGGCACATCCCAGAGGGACAGGGAGAGCCTGGGATGCAGGGCCAGGACAGGAAAAAACCGGGAGCAAAAAGCTGGAGCTGCTCCCAACCGTCCAGAAATTCCTGCTGGGGTTTGTCCCTCGTGGAATCCTGGCTGTGGGGAGCTGGTGAGGGGATTTTGGGGTGTCCCTGGAGCTCTGTGGGATCAAAATTCCCCCTGAAGGCTCAAGGTGGGGGCTCCTTATCCAGTTGTGATCTCCTCCTGTGAGGGAGAGGGGAGAAATTCCATGGCAAAGCTCCAGGGTGGAGGTAAAGACAGGGAGAATCATTTCCTAATGACTCACGGGAAACAACGTCAGGAAAAATTATTTATTGTTCGTTAAAAGATAATTGGAGAGTGGGAAACATCTCCAATTCATCCCTTCATCCCGGGCTGGAATTCACTCCCTCATTCCTGGTTTTTGGGCTGCCCACAGGAATGGGGAAGGGGGAAGTTTTTTCCCCCTGCTCCTCAGAATTATGAAAATAATTCTCCCTGGTGTTGTCTGCTGTGAGATGTGACCAAAAACAGAGCACAGCAGGCTCCAGCTCAGGAATAAAGAAAAAAAACCAACTTGATTAACCTCCAATATATAAAGGAAACACCCAGAACTCAGAGTGAAAACCATCCAAGGAGGTTTTGTGCAGGGAGTTTTTCCCTTTATCCCGCAGGGAATAAATAAAGCACGGCTGGGCCTGGCTGTGCTGGCTCTGCCATCCCCGCCATCTCCCTGCCCCCTGGCCGTGCCAAAATAATGCCAAATACAGGAGTTTGGGAATGAGTTTTATGTATTTCTGTCCCCCCTCCTGCTGGGGGTGGCTCACAGCGCCTGCTCAGGGCTGGTGGAAGCTCTGAGGGAATTTCTGCTTCCTGGGACTGCATCCCGCTCCTGTGCTCGTGGCTCATTTCCCCGGCAGTCTGCACCCCAAAATCGTCCCTGCGCAGGTGACAGCACCCCCGGCTGTTGGATTGAGCCCTTTCTTCACCCAGTGTCCTGGTTTAGGACAAATTAGGGGAAATCTCCAAAAGGGAGTCCCCCCCAAAAAAACAAACCTCCAACCACCCCTCCCCCCCCAATACCGGGTTCGGGAAGGAATTCCTTGGAGGAGCAAAGTGGAAAACAAAACCTATTTATTGGCAAATAACAAAAGAACACTCCCCAACACAAGAAAAGAAAAGAAAACCAGTCAGTGTTGTGGAGGGTGCCGAGCGTCTCTCGCAGGCTCCGGAGGTCCCGCCGGACGTCCCAGGTCAGGTCTGGAGCCGGTCCAGTATCTTCAGGGGAGGGTAAGAAAGAGAGGACGAA